GATATCCCTGGGATCAGTTGGGGTCAGCTGTCCTGGCTGTGTCCCCTCTCCCAGCTCCTTGTGCCCCCTCACTTGTGGGGTGAGGAGCAGAAAAGGCCTTGACTCTCTGCAAGCACAGCTCAGCAACAATGAAAACATCCCCCTGTTATCAACACTGTGCTCAGCACAAACCAAAAACGCAGCCCCACACAAACTAATATGGAAAAAAAGACTATTCCAGTCAAAACCAGCACATCATCCCTGCAGGGACTCCTCCTGTCACCTTAAGATCTGAACTAGCAGGTTTTTGCTTTGTCTTTGCAGCTCCCTGGCAATTGGAACCACAACTGGATACAGACTTTTCTCCTTAAGCTCTGTGGAACAACTGGACCAGGTCCATGAAAGCAGTAAGTGTCCTGTTTCACTGTGGAGGAGTATTGACCAGCAGCACTTTAAACTTGTGGGAGTCCTTCACCATTGTTAGAATTCAGCTTCTTTTCCACTGCTGTCAGTCTGGCAGCAGCACTTTGTCCTGAAAACCAGCATGCAGAGGTAGCTTCCCACTAGCATGTTTGAGATAACAGGGACAGGAGACCACAGGCTCCCAGCACAGCTGCTGGACAACTCACAGGCTTTTAATCCAGTGTGGTATTTACAAGCAAGATGTTTTTAACAGGTTTCCCGTGTAAGAAGGTCACTCACAGCAGGCCTGCAGTTATTAGCTGTGCTCAGAGCAGCGTGCAATGCACTTAACAGCCCCAAACGAGTCTGGCCTCGTGGAGCAGGACTCCAGTCTGGTTCAGGCCAGAAGTGTTTCAGCTGAGATGCTCTAAAGATAACATTCCCCAGCTGGGATAGGCTCATCTCTCTCCACTGGCTATAGAAGGAGCCTCAGCAACCAGACAGAGCTGCATCATCTCAGCAGAGTCCAGGTCTTTGCCTCACAGGCTGACTAAGCTGCTGTACAGCAGCAAACTGTAGATTTATGTCAAAAACTATTTAGGAGTTTGGATTGTCCCCAGTCAGGCCAAAGAGAAACATCCCTGCTGGTGTCACACTCAGGGTGATGGGCTGAGGCACAAGCAGTCCCACATCCCAGCTGTGGGGCAGCCTTTGGACCTCAACACAGCCCAAACTGAGCATCATTCAGGGCCCCCTGCACTGGACATCACAGTCCTTGAGGATTTGGGTGCAGGTCCACCAGGACCACTGCAATGGTGCCTTCTCAACACAACAGGAGTTATCCTAAACAGCCTCTGCAAGGCTCACCAAGCCACTGTTTGCTCCCCTAAGGAGGCTGAGGGAAACCAGACACCACCCAGAATAAACAGGGAGCCACACACAGCTCATTCCTTACCTCAGCAACCATGGTCTGCACACTCCCTCCAGGAAAATCCCTAACCAGACTGAGTGAGCTCCTCTTTTTATATCCCATTCCCAAGGATTAACTGCAGCTGGAGGGCCCAAGGTACCTTCAGCTGGAGAGGCACAACAGCACTGTCTTAATTTTAACCTTTAGGGGAATGTTCATTAACCCCCTCCTGCTCTGACCTAATTCCTTTGTGCCAGGTATGAGACACTTATCACAAAGGCAGGTGTTGAACACCTTAGCACTGAGCCTTCCAACCCCACTCCCTCTTGTTGCTGCCCTCAAACCAACCACCAGCCAGGCTAAAGGCCCTGCTGTGCTTTCCTTGTGTGCCCAGATGAAATCCCAGATGTTTACATCGTGGAGCGTCTGTTCTCCAGCAGCCTTGTGGTTGTGGTCAGTCATGCCAAGCCACAGCAAATGAATGTCTACCACTTCAAGAAAGGGACAGAGATCTGCAACTACAGCTATTCCAGTAACATCCTGTCCATCCGGCTGAACCGTCAGGTGAGAGGCACTTGGGAGGGAAGGGGGTTATCCAGAGTTATCCCGCTCTGACTCTCTGCTGGCTCTGTCTTTCCAGCTGGGACCAGCCTGGGGAGGTTTGCAGGGACACTGTAAGTGGCACTGGAGGGGTGGGTGCCTGTCCTCTCCCACCAGCTCCACTCCAGACTCAGTGACAGGAGCAGGAGCTGTGCATATCATCTGCCACAACTCTTTCCTTCAGTCAAATGAAGCCAAGTCCTTGTTTTCATAGCAGTGACACAAAGGCTTTTTGTCATCTGCCTTCTTGCCTATTCAGGACGCAGCTCTGCCAAAAAAACACCTTTTCATCTCCCCTCCCTCCCATGGATTCCACATCCTGACTCCAGGCCCACCTCTGCCCTCTTGGTTGCAAATAAGACCTTCAAACTTGGTGACAAAACCCAGGAGTAACTTGAACTCTGTGGATGAGGCAAAAGGCTGCTTCTCAAGTACTGCAAGCAGCCTTGTTTTGGTTTTAAGGGTATAAAAACCATCCGGGCCACTTAGAAGAAGGCTTTTAGGGTGTTATTCTGTGAATTGACACAGCCTCATGCAGCCCTGAGCCCTTTTGGAGGTTTTTAAGTCATCTTTTCTTTTTGTCCATAATTATTTTCCAAGTATATGCCCTAAGAGGCAGAGGACATTTTACAATGAAGAAATAAGCAGTCTGGGTAATTGTATATAATCAGCTCTCCTCAGTTAGCAACAGTGAGACCTGCAGTAAGACTCTCTGGGTTGAGCTTCCAGTAAAGCTGCCTTTGACCAAGAGTTCCTGTACTACAATTAAATCTGTCCTAAATTGATTTTTTTCACTTAAACTTACAATGGAACTGGCAAAAGAAGGACTTCCTTTGAATTGCAGATAGCTGTATGTGTATAAAAATAAACTGGGAGGTTCTGCTTAGCAGCTCTAGGAGATTAGTGTGAATAAAATAAGTTCAGGCCATTCCCCATGTGCTGCTCTGGAGTTTGCCTGAAGGTGATGCACAGTCCCAGCCTTGCATTCATGTTCTTTGGCTGCGTGATGAGCTTGGGTTCAAATCCTGGGCTGAGCTCATCCTCTGGCTGTAACACAGGCACACCTGGAGAGATCTGAAGATGCTACAGATGCTTAGAAACATGGAATATGAGAGTCATTTGGGTTGGAAAAGACCAGTAAAGACGTGGAGTCCAACCACTCCCCCACGTCCCCAAGCGCCACATCCACATGTCTCTTAAATCCCTGCAGGGATGGGGACTCCACCACTGCCCTGGGCAGCCTGTTCCAATGCTTAGGAACCCTTTCCATGAAGAAATTTTTCCCAAAATCCAATCTAAACGTTCCCTGGTGCAATTTGGGTAGATTGAAGAGAAGTCACTGTTTCAGTCTACATTCAGGATTTAAACTGGTGGCTCTCAGGTTCACCATGTGCTGTGACACCTGAGCCCTTGCCTGGGCTTCTGTAGGAAACCTGTACTCCATTGGAAGTCCACAGAAGGACAGATCCCATACAAAGCATTAACACAGGAAAATAAACAAATAAACCAGGAACAGATCTCAAACAAACAGTGCGTATTTCAATTTGATATCTCTGTGAAAAAGTCCTTGTTGTGCAAACAAGTCCCTCCGTTGTTGATCCACGGGAATTCTTTGTTCCAAGCTCCACGATAACTGAAGTGTGTTAAGGTGTGATTTGTCTCAAGGTGGGGAGCAATCTGTGCTGTGCAACCAGTGAGAAGCTGCTGGAACCTCCCTGGGGTTTCATTCACTGCTGAAACCCTGCTGAGCTCTTTGGAGAGGTTTGAGGTGTTTTTCTGTCTGTGTCCAGACCCATTTCAGCCCTGAAAACACAGCTCAGTTATCCAATCTGATCTGTGTCAAACTAAGAAAAATCTGGAGAGATTTCTGTACAATTAGCAGTGCCTCAACCCCGGGGAGCAATCACAGCACCAACACCTCCTCTGAGGCTCCATCTGTGTCCACAGAGAGGATAAATCCCATCCCACTGACCTTAGCATGGAGGGCAGGAGAGCAGCAGCCCTCTCCAGCTCCTGGTGAGCTTGTCCAGACCTCCTTTGCCTCTTCACCTCTCAAACCCATCACTTTCCTGGATTTTGTCCCCATGGGTGCCAACATCTCTGGCTGCTGCTTTGCCATCATCTGGAAACCTCCCTTCACCTGGACATCAATAGCAGCCCGTTCTGGGAAAGCACGTGGTGGCTTTGCTGAAATCAGCTGTATAAATATTACACTTCTTGCAAGTTGATGGCTGTTACTGGAGAAAAGGCAAAGTCTTCCTGGAAATGCAAAATGGCTCTGACACAGCCCCAGATGCTGTGGTTAGCAGGAATAGAAGTGGGAAAGAGTTTGATCTGAGAGTAATGGTGGAGCAAGGCAAAGATTTTCTAATGTGGGTGTTTCAAGTTAGTGACTAAGCTCCACATTTAGATACTAAATAAGTGGCCTCATTTCTAAAGAGGTGGAGGCTTCCTGTACATGGATTTGGGTGCTCCAGCTTGAGGAGCCTGGATGGAGTCTGGCCCTTGGTGTTTATTGGGAGGTTTTCAGTGTTTCTGGACACTTGGCACTAACAGAGGTGAAGCTGTGCACTTGCTGGACTTGGGAGGCACAACCCTTCAGCCAGACCCAAAGCCTTGGTCCCAAAAAAAGCCTCTGTGCAAAACCTCTCCGTGGTAAAACGGAGAGATCTGGACCAAGATCTGAGACCGAGACACAAAGCTGAGTGGCCGTGGAGATGGTGGCCCAGTGCTGAGGTCACTGCATCAGGCTTCCCTCCTCCTTTCTGCCTCTCCTCCCCTTGGCTGATTCCAAATGGGAAAGGAACATCAACGCACTGAACAGATACATCAGGTTTAGCAGCAGTGGGAGGCCCGGCACCTACGTGTTTGCTCCCAAATCAAGAAAAAGTCAGGGCAAAAGGCCTGTGCTCCCATCTGGGGGCACACTGACAAGCAGGACTGCAGCCTCTCTGCTGCCAGGTCTTTATGATCGAAATGTAGTTTGCTCTGAAATGAACTACTAAGAAAATTTGGGGTAGGGATAGATGGCAGTGGTGGGGTGTAACCCTGATGTGTCTTCCTGTTCCTGGGGATGTGGAAGATCAGCTCTTAGAGGAGCAGAGAAGTCGTCATGATGTTTTACCTGCTTTCTAAAGCAAGATCAGGTGCAAAAACTTTCAAAAACAATCATACAGACCCAAATGTTGTCCAGTGAGAGGGGATGGAGAAGCAGAGATCCTGTTTTTGTTACATTTGGGTGTGTGAGAAATTCCTGTTGAGTTTTTCTGACACCAAAGATTTGGGTTGGTGCACTGTGGGAGCAGCAGGCAGAGGCACCATTACCATGCTGGTGAGGTTCTGTGCATGTCCCTTGTGTCCTTGCAGAGGCTGGTTGTTTGCCTGGAAGAGTCAATTTACATCCATAACATTAAGGACATGAAGCTTTTGAAGACTATTCTGGATACACCTCCAAACACAACAGGTAAGTGTGGAAGAACCGTGTGAAAGGGAGCTTTGTAGAGCCACAACACTCGGGTTAGAATTTAAACCAGGCTGTGGCTTGTGTATCCTAATTCAGTACTGGGGAGCCAGAAATGGAGGGAGGCAGTCCATGGGCTTGGGAGAGCAGAAACCTGGCTCTGTCCTGAGCAAAACCCGGCTCTGTCCTGAGCAAAACCTGGCTCTGTTTGGAGCAAAAGCCAGCTCTGTCCGGAGCAAAACCTGGCTCTGGAGCAAAACCCAGCTCTGTCCTGAGCAAAACCTGGCTCTGTTTGGAGCAAAACCCAGCTCTGTCCTGAGCAGAAGCATCAAAGGGGAGCAGGGGTGGGCAGCAGGGTTTGACTTCCCCTTGAGGTCAGCTCCCAGAGCCATCAGTGCTCTGAAGATCACCCAGGGCAGAACCCACAGCCAGAACCCACAGCACTAATTCCCAGCTGGGGAGTGCCCGGGAGCCCTGGGCTGCCACCTGATATTATTCCATGGATGCAGCAAACCCGAGGGACAGGGCAGGTGGCCTCAGGACAGATCCTCTCTGTGCGGCCCAGGGTGAATCCGGCTTTCCTGCTGCTGGGAGAGGAGCTATTTTTAGCTGTGCAGAGGGAGTCTTGGCCGGGTGCCCACGGCAGCGCTGCCGTGCGTGGCTGTGACATCCCGGCCCGTCGCAGCTGCAGCATCATTTCATGGGCTGTTGGTCGGGAAGTTGCTGATGTGCTCACGCTTGGCTTCTGGGCTTTCAAGGGATGCTCTCCCAGCAGCTCCCCTGACCTACTTCAGGTCTCAACAGATGGCCTCTCCCTGAGGATTAAACATACTAAACGCTACAAATATAATTAAAGTTTAAAACCTTCCCGAGAAGGCCCGGCAGCAGCAGGGTGGGCAGGGATACCCAGGCCTGGAGCTGCTCTGCAGTGGGGCTGGAGGACTAGGTCATGGTTTTAGAGCAGCAGCAATCAGCTGGGGCAGGACTGGGCTGCTGAGGATCATAAGCTTCATATGGGCTTAGTGCTTTAAAGCCCTGTTACTGCAGCAGCTGTCACTGAAATGAGCTGAGTGACCAGCGTGGTGCCACGCCTGCTCCTGTTGTCCCAGGGCCATCTGCTTTGGTCCCAACTCTGACCCCAGGGATGGTGTGTCCAGGAGGTCAGGGCAGTCCACTGCTCTGTACAACCCTTTTTGGAGTGGGGGTCTGTGCCAAAGGGATGTAGGAGCACAAAAAAGCCACCACCCCTAAAGTGTGTACCCTGAGCACAGTAACACCAGCACAGGGAGGACCAGGGTTTGCTGCAGCACACAAGCCAGTCCCTGTGAGATCTCTGGCTGTTCCTGGCCAGCACCCGGCTCCCAGTCCAGCCTTCTCCGTGCAGGAGAGGAAAACGCCCACGCTGGCCAAGTCTGTTGTTTTTCATGTGGTTCATCTCAGGGGCAGGATTTGCACTGAGGAGGTCACAGGGCTCGTGGTGATGTGTGCCATCTCGGGAATGACTGCAGATTTGGAAACCACCTCATGTGGCTCCCCCCAAGCCCCAGATGTGCCTGGATCTGCTGGCCTGGGGGCAAGGCCAGGCTTCCCAGACACAGTATCGTTTTTCCATGCTGCTTGAGGAAGGCACCTGTGATGTGGCACTTCCAGAGGTGCCATCCTGAGCAGTGCCTGCCTGCCTCCTCCCTCCTGGTGCTGCAGGCACCAACCTTCATCATGGCTGTGGGGCTGCCAGAGGAGAGGAGAGGAGCACCTTCAAAGGCTGCCCGTGGCCCTGGTGATCCTTGTTCTTTGTGTGTCCCTGAGGTCAGCCCAGTACACTCACATCTGTGTTTTCCCCTGGCCTGGTTTCCCGCCCGCCTCTCCCGGCCAGGCGGGAGCAGAGGGAGCGGGTGACTCACACCAGCCGCTCAGAGCTCGCTTTGTTCCGCTCCAGCCTTCCCTAAACCCTCTTCTGAGAGAAAGGGCTGCGCTGATCCCCCCTGTGCTGCCTGAGCTGGGGGAACACCATCCGGAAAAGACAGGATGCTCCTCACGAGCAAAGTCTCTGGGCTGTCTTTGCCTTCCTCCCATCCCTCCCTCTTTAATTGCCTTTTAATTGCCTGCACTTTGCCACCGCCGCGCTCCTCGTGCCTCTCCCCGGTGCGCCATCCCTGGCACGGTGCACATGCCTCTGGATTGACGGCGAGTGGATCCCTGGGGCTCCTGGCTGATCCTGCAGCTCCTGGCTGCACCGCGGTCTCTTTGTTTAGTTATAAACAATGACCTAAAGCGAGAGATCCTTCCCCGAGGCTGGGCCGGGGCCAGGGCCGTGTCCTGACCCGGGGGGTTGCACGGCAGGACAGCCCGTGTACGTGCAGCGTGTGGGTGTCCTGTTTGGGGCCGTGGCAGCACCCCCGGTGCCTTTAACCCCGCGGCTTCCTCCGCACGTGGGACGAGGTGGGACCCCCGGCGCGGGTCAGGAAGCTCAGGTCGTGCCGAAGCCTTGAGTCGGGTTTGGGAGGACAGTGAGCGCGCGGATGTGGCGCAGGAAGCGAGTGAGACACGTTCTGTATGTGACAGGATTCACCGGGATGGATCCTGGGCCAGCAGCAGAAATGAGAGGCAGGAAGGGATGCTCTTTTCCGAGGTCACCTGGGGGACAAGCGGGTGGATGTACCTACACACGTATCCATCCATCCCTGTCTCATCCTGTAGTTCCTGCTCCCTTTCAAAGGGGCGTTTGGGAACCTTTATGCTCGTGTTGGCACAAAACCAGATGGCTCTTTTGGGGAAGAATTCTCCCCGTGCTTGAAATTTAGCTACGTTCAAGTTCCTTGTCAGCCGGAAACTCCCTGCACAGCTGGGGCACTTCCTTTGTCTTCCTCTGCTTCCCTTTTCCATTCAGAGCAGAAGGAAGCGGCACTGCCTTGCCCTGCCAGCCTTCACATGCCAGGCTGCGTGTCGGGGCTGCATCCGCGCCGTGCTGCTCCTCTGAGCTTCCAACCCGGCACCCACGCCCTGTGCACATCTTCCTGCCTTCTCCAAGGAGATGATGGACAGGACCTGGGCTCCTGTGCAGTGTCTGGCAGGAGGGTGGCAGGGCCCAGGCAGCCGTTCTGTCCCGTGCCACCAGGTGTCCCCACGGCCGAGGCATTTCCAGGGCTCCACACCCGGTGCCGGACGGTCCCAAACGAGACAGAGCCTGAGCCCCCTGCCGTGCCCATGGCCGTGGATGTGCGTTCCTCCTCCCCCAGCGCGCAGCCTGAGCCGTGTCCCTCTCTCCCTGCCAGGTCTGTGCGCTCTCTCGATCAACCACGCCAACTCCTACTTGGCTTATCCCGGCAGCGCGACCAGCGGAGAGATCGCGCTTTACGACGGAAATACTTTGGTAAGTGCGAAGCCCGGCCTTTGGATACCGACTGAAAACAAACAGAGCCGCAGCAAAGCCAACGGGGCCCTTGGGAAGGATGAATAAATACGCTCCACCGAGCTAGGCTGCAAGGGAATTGCCTGGGAGGCACATTCCCCGTCCCCCGTGCTCGGAGCTGACAGCATCTGAGATCAGGGCATCTCCCAGTACAGATATTCAGGAAAACATGACCCACTGCCCTGCAGCCCCAGGGCCGCTGCCAGGCTGGCACTGGGGTTCCTGTAGGAGCGTCAGCAGCGTATCCCATGGGAGTGATGTTACCAGTGTGGCTCAGGAAGCGTTGGAGCTGCTCCAGGCACAGCACAGAACCTGGAGCAGTGGCTCTGCCATGGGCTGGAAGGGATGCTGGACCCAAAGTCATGGAGAGGGCAAAGTGTCCAAAGTCCCCTCAGGAAATCTGTCCCTGGCTGGATGCAGGGTCATGATTATCTGCTGTTTATGCCAGGGCTTTGGGTTACATAAGGCTGTGGCTCCGTACGTGCAATGGGAGCCGAGGATCTGCAGCAGGGGAGGAGCAGAGCACGGGGGAAAACACTGTCTCTGCTGCTGTGAGAGGTGCAGGGAGGGCTGGGGCTCCCTGCAGGCACCAGGGAGGTGTTGCTGCAGCAGGATTCGCTGTGCAGCTCGGTGAGATGCAGGGAGGCCAGCTCTGATCCTCACAAACACATGCCAGGCTTCTAGGAGGGCACAGTTGTGATCCCAAAACCTGGAGAGGCGGGGAGCTGAGGTTCTCTGCCCCTGAGGTGAGCTGTCTGTAATCACAGTGGCCACAGTAGGTGGGGAGTGAGCACAAGGCAGGGCAGAGATAAACTGCTGAGGATGTGGAAGAGATACCATCAGCACAATACTATCCCATGAATCCGTATCAGCAGGCCTGGATAGGGTGCGAGGCAGGGAACGCCCTGCCCTCACACACAGTCCAAGGAGCAACGTGTCCCTTTGCACTCACTTTACCTTCTGCCCTACAGAAAACAGCCTGCACCATCCCTGCCCACGACGGGCCTCTGGCTGCTCTCGCCTTCAACTCCACCGGCTCCAAGTTGGCAAGTGCTTCTGAAAAAGTGAGTGAGTGTGGCTGCAAGCACCCTCCCTCTGCCCAGGGCTGGCAGGGGGTCCCAGCCAGCTCTGCTGTATCAGGACCTCTGAGCTTAAACACAGCCAAGAGAGAAGGGGCACTGAGGGATACACTGCCAGCGTGTCGGCATCAGATTGAGCCCAGCTGGCAAACAGGAGGAGCCTTTGCACGTCCTGAGTTTCCTGGGTGTGTCAGGGAATGGGCTCTCGCTCCTTGGCCTGCTCCTGCGTGATATTTCCCTTTGCATTTTTTGCAGGGCACAGTCATTCGTGTATTTTCCATTCCTGGGGGGCAAAAGCTCTATGAATTCCGGCGGGGGATGAAAAGGTCAGTTCATTCTTCTGTGGGTGACGAGCACACAGAGGGCTCCCGGAGCCCAAACGTAAACAGAGGGGCAGGGCAACGTCAGATCCTGGTGGCTTTGGCATCTTTTGCAGAAGGAAAACAAGAGCAAACGTATCAGCTCGAAATGTCACTGTGCCAGGCAGCCTCAGGCCAGCTCAGTGATTCCCTGTGTGTCACAGAGCAGGGCATGGCAGAGAACAGAGATGGAGTCACTCCATTTACTCTGGCCTTTTTGTTTCTCACTCGAAATAATGAAATCCCCAAAATTATCAGACCCCCCGTCCCTGCTCAACCTGTGCAGGGGATGCTGTATGTATCCCACTATTCAGCACTTTGGATGTCCTCCCTGGCCTTTGCAGGACCAGAAGGTTTAATGAGGCCAGCACAGATGTTCCCTCCACAGGCAGCTCTGTGAGCAAGGACATTTCCACCTCTCTGGCTGTATGTCACTCGCTCGAGGCAACCCCCAGCTCTGCTGAGCAAAGGGATTAGGGAGCTGCTGGTCACTGAGCTCACAGGCTCTGCAGCAGCTGGGCAGGGTGGATGGGTCTCCTTCCTCCCCATCCTCTTCCCTGTGAGCCAAACCCAACAGTTCCCTTGAGCAATGTGCCACAGAGTGACCAGTCCTGTCCTTGCTTGGCTGCAGGTATGTGAACATCAGCTCCCTGGTGTTCAGCATGGATTCCCAGTTCCTCTGTGCTTCCAGCAACACGGAGACCGTGCACATCTTTAAACTGGAGCATCTCACGGACAGGTGAGGAGATTAGCCTGGCTTAACCTGCCTGGCTCTGCTTCAAAGGTCTGCTTCTCCACAGCTGGCCTCCATGTCCTTTCCATGAGCAATACCAGCTGCAAACTCTTTGGCTTTGTGTCCTGAGGGACTCAATCCTTGAAAAGCCATGATCTGCATCCCTGCTGTCAGGCTCTCTGGGCCTGCTCTGGCTTTATTAGCTTCCACTGTCCCTCCTTCCTGTGTATCCAGCCAGTCTGATGCACAACGTGCAGGTTTCCCAAATAAACCCTTCACCGGTGTGAGATCAGGATGATGTGCTCTGTTCCTGATGCTTTGTCACACTGACTGTGGTGACCCCACTGATGCTGCTCTGTGACCCCCTCAGCCGGCCAGAGGAGCCTCCAACCTGGAGTGGTTACATGGGGAAGATGTTCCAGGCTGCCACCAACTACCTCCCTGCTCAGGTGTCGGGCATGATGAGCCAGGACAGAGCCTTTGCCACTGTCCGCCTGAACATCTCCGGGCAGAGGAACATCTGTGCCCTCTCCACGTACGTACTGACGCTGCACCCCCGTGCCAGGCACAGCCATCTCTGCCAAACACCACCACCCTGGCCCCTTATCTCACCCCTGTGCCTGCAGGGCACACGGTGTGGGTGCTGCTGTGTCCGTGTGTGAGGGTTTTTGGGGGGCTCATGATGCTTTTCTCACCAGGATTCAGAAGCTGCCTCGGCTGTTGGTGACTACGTCAGATGGACATCTCTATATCTACAACCTGGACCCGCAGGATGGAGGGGAGTGTGTCTTAATTAAGAACCACAGGTAACTGTTCCTCCAGTCACACGTCATGCAGAGGCTGATCTTTTACATACTGAGGGGAAATCTCACCTGACAGCACAAAATGGAGCTGTAGGAGCAAGAACGTTAGAACTGACTTTGTGATTTGAGTGCTTGACCTGACAGATGTGGGTGGGAACCACATCAGCAAGCAAAGACAAGGGGCTTCTTGCAGAAGAAACCAGAGACATCTCAGATTCCATGGCAGCTGTGGAATATCTCAGCCCAGACAGCAGAAGTGGGCAGGCTGTGCCTTAGGAGATGCCTCTGGCAGAGAGCACCGACCATCATGGTGACAGGAGAGCAGAGTATCTCCTCCAGGTGTGAGTGGGAGCTGGAATGCTGATTTTGGGGGTAGGATGATCTGGAGTGACACTGGGAACTTCTCCAGTGCCAAAGCAGAAGGAGTTTCTTCACAGAAAGGGTGGTCAGGCATTGGAAAGGGCTGCCCAGGGAAGTGGTGGAGTCTCCATCCCTGGAGGTGTTCAAGGAACGTCTCAGTGTTCTGGTTTAATTGACAGGGTGGAGATCAGGACTCAATGAACTTGGAGGTCTTTTCCAACCCCAGTGATTCGGTGATTCTGTGAAAGCAGAGCCTGTTCTGTTCGTATGCAAATTCCATGGAGCACGTAACCCCTCCCCTGCACACATCTGGGCTCCTTGGCTCCAGACATGAAGCCTGTGGGGTGGGGTTCGATGCAACATGTGCTCTGAGCCGGGAGGTGGCTGCCAGCCAGGGAAATGCCAGCAGCTTTTTGAAAAGCCACAAAACAAAAGCACTTCAAAGCTGCGCTGTCCAGCGCGCGCCGGCCGCCCGCCTGCCCCCAGCTTTGTCATGTGGGCTCCTCTGAGCATCAGAGGACTGAAAAGGGCCCTTGGGTCATGAGTTACATTACATCATACGATATCTCTGCTCAAACTCCGTCCTAAACTAGCCAGGGCTGCTTTTCCCATCTAGTCCTCTCCTGTTGGAAGCCCTTCGGAGCCCCCCCTGTGATTAGAAACACTGTTTGCCTTTGTAACCTAAAGCTCTTGTGGTCAATCTGTTCCCTTCTGTTCCTGTGCCAGCATTGTCCTCCAGCCGAAGTGGTGCTTTCCCTATCTCCTGCTTCCCCTCTGCTTTCCTTGTGGAGCACAATGCTCCCCTGTCTGCAGCACTGCTGGGGCTGCAGGCAGGGCATGGATGTGGTGGTGTGGATGGGTGATGCTCTTCAAGGAGATGTGGATGCATGGGCTTGCCTTATGTGGAGCTGGGGAGGAACAGCTGGGATCAGAACTAACTCTTCTTCCCTCTCTTGCTCCTGTACAATTAGTCTGCTTGGCTCAGGAAAGATGGAAGAGAACAAAGAAAATGACCTTCAGCCTCCAGTACCTCAATCTTATGCAGCAACTGTAGCCAGGCCAAGTACAGTGCCTTCAACTTCGACCATGCCAGGTAAGCACATCTGCCTGCCTTGGGCAGAAGCCACAAGGCCACCTGGGGCAAAGTGGAAAGTGTGCAAGATTCCAGGGGTTCAACCAGAATCACCTTTTGGGCAGCAGGACTTTGGAGCTCACCTGGTTCATCCCCTGTGACAAAAACAGGCCGGGCGTTTTCTGCTCTGCTTCCTGGGAGCCTGTGCCAGCACTGCTTCTCCTGGTGCAGAGCTATGCCACAGATGGGCCCAAGGCAGAGCAGGAACCACACCTGAGCTCCAGTTTGTAAGACAGCAGCTGCTGCCAGGCGGTTTCCAGGAGTTGAACCCCTGGGTGTAGAAGTCAAGTACTATTTTTGTGGCGACGTCACTACAGATTCTCCAAACCTGTTATACCTTACCCACAAAGCCAGCACTAAACTGCTACAGGGAAACACTGGGTGACTATCTTATTATATTCCCTAGTCTAAGGTCCACATAACAGAGGTAGATCTTACTCTGAAATTGGTGCTCACATTCGTGGCAGGAGGAGGAAAGCTGCCATTAGTCCATCCCTAATCCACAGTGTCAACGGAGATACCTTCCTCTCCCTTGGTCCCCCAGAGTTCTGTGCTAAAGAGGTGATGACACGGTGTCTGCTGTTTGTTTCCATCCATTCATCCACAACATTCTGTGGTTTTCCTTGGCCAGGCTACTCGGAGGACGGCGGGGCCCTGCGAGGAGAGGTGATCCCAGAGCACGAGTTTGCGACGGGACCGGTCTGCCTGGACGATGAGAATGAGTTCCCTCCTGTGAGCATTCGGGACCCCTAGAACTGCAGCTCAGCCCTCATGCTAAGAAGGAAGTAGTAACCTCTTACAGAAGAGATCCCATTGCCCCCTCCTTGTCCCAGCTCGCTGTGAAGCCTAAAATAACTAAATTAGTTGTAGGGACAGTGCCAGGAAAGTGACACCCCCACCAAGTGGCATCTGGGGATGGGGCAAAGATGATCAAACCTACTAATTAGAGATGGATCTGAACAAACTTGCTATGTCCAGATCCAGAGCTAGCCTTTGTGCCTTAAGCAGATTTCTAGTATTCCCAGGACTAGTTTTAACTGGAACAATACCATCATTTAGAAATAAAAACTTAATACTCCCTGTTGCATTTACAGTCAGTTGTATTAGTTTATGGAATGCAACTGGAACATACCTGAACCTCACCAGTCTCTTCATTTCCAAACTAACTGAGAAGGAAACTCCTTTTCCAAGTACAAAGATGAAAGGAATAACAGAGTTCGAAACCATTTTATGATTTTTATATGGCACTTTCTCAGTTACCATTGGAAGGAGAATCTGGATTTTTAAATCTAACTCAAGCCTGGCAGTGTCTTTCTGGCTTCTTTTTCCTATTCCACACTCATTTATTGTGTTAAGTATCTAACCCCTAACTGGACAGATGTTGGCCTGTGCTGTGATCTGGTTGTAATCAGTGGTGTCTTCATAACAGTAATGCATTAATACACCAGAATATTGTAATGGATTTCAGGTTGCAGCCTTGGCAGGCTCTGGAATCCTGTACTTGGTTTTTAAATATCCTGCTGTTGGAGTTTTGCCTGAAAAGGAGGAAGTAAAAATTTTATCCCAGGATTTGTTCCATGTGCTGAGCACATGCCTCTGCGAGGCACGTTCCTGTGAACTGATGCAAAGTGTTATTTAGATAAAAGGTGACTGGCTCATAACTCCCTTTGAACCAACACCACCTAAAGCCAGCTCCAGTCACACAGCCTTCAGATTCCTTCTCTTTCATTACCTCTAACTTAATCTGCTGCAAACTGGGAGCAGGAGTTTCCTAGTTGTCCCACACCATTAGCCAAGAAGGAAATTTAAAATGTCTCCCTCTGGTCAAATTGTGTGGCCACGGAGAAGCTGGAAGGAGCAGCAGGGCCAGAGAGAAATCCTTTGTTTCCTCCTGCTCTTGAACCTGTGGTTCAGGGACGAGCGATTGCCAGCGAGCAGGAATCACAGGAATCATGCTGCTCCTGAATGAGCCTCCCTGCTGGGGCTGGGCCGTACAAAAGCAGCCCCAAACCCCTGCTGCACCACAGCAGGTGCTTCATTAAATGAACTTTGATCTCCCCAAAACCCTGTAATTGACCTGACAGAGCAAGTGAACGTGTGTAGGAGGCGTGGGAGGGAAGGCGCTTTCCAGAAATACTCCCTGATACGGTGGCTTAGCGAGTGGACCTTCCAGATAAAGGCCCTGCACTCGGGTTTTGGGTTTGCCCCTCGCAGGGTGAGTGCACAAGGAGAGCTGGGCAGGATGTTTTGATGCTCTGAATTTCACTGAACTTGGCTGTTTTCTCAGCACTGAGACATTCGGTCTCGATGACGCGTCCAAGGGGGGTTTCAGGCATCGGTCACCACTCCTGTGTGGAGAAGGAGGGACAGAAAACCTGACCTTATCCAACAAAAATGTTTTGACAGCGTTCTGCTTTGTGGAAACATGGGAAGGGTTTTGTTTGTTTTCCAGCGTGCAACAAAAAGACATTTAAAAACCTCAAAACTTGTGACAAAATGGAATATTCACCCGCAGCCCACGGTATGGCTTTGAACTCAGACATGGTTCTGGAGAAACAGCAGTGCTCAAACCCCACAGTTCCTCTCCATTTTGAAACATCTTGTCTTCCCTTGACCTCAAGCGAGACTTCAGAGGCTCAGCTCTTAAAGAGTGAGGAAAAACAGCTTCAGCCTGACATGAAGTCTGTCAAAAACTGCCTCTTCATTAAATGGAAGGAGGGACAGATCAGAGAAGAGATAAGAAGCCCAAGGAGGACTCATAAAAAGTGGCCTCACAAGAGGGAATGTGGATGTTGCTGCCGATTGTGCCAGGACTGCGGAAGGATCCTGCGGCAAGAGGTTAAACCAGTTCAATGACATCTCCTGCATTGATGGGGTGGATTAAGCACTCCCAAGTCACTATTGCTGTGAGGCAGGAAGGACTGAGGTGTTATGGAGGTGGACAGTGGGCTGGAGCCCGGGGTGAGGAGCAGGTGCCACGCAGGATGTGCGGGGAGGAGGCTGCGGAGCCCTCGCCCTGCAGGGCCAGAAGGTTTCACGGGGTGGGAAGAGTCAAACCCAGCCCTGGCTGCAAATGGTTGTGGCAATTACAGCTGTTTTTCCGGTCAGCTGCCCCTGTTCTGTGGGTGTATCAATGAGGGAGGTTTCCAGTGGCGTTGGGAGTTGTTGTGTGTGTGTGTTGGGCAGGCAGGGCATCACTTGGCCGGCTCTGTTTTTGGGACCCAGTGTAGTGGCTGCTCCCACCAAGGCATGGTCAGAACAGTTTTGGGGTAGTGCTGTGAGCTTTGGCAGATGAGATCCTGCAGGATTCTGCAAGCAGTATGGCCTGTGTGCAGCTGAGGAGTACAGCCAGGGAATCTTCTTAAATATCCTGGGATTCAGTAGTTTCTTCCAGCAGATTGCTCGGTGCTTTTCCAGGCCAACATGATCCATCCTGCATTTGGCTGCAGGGGCCAGGGGTGATGAGAAGGCTTTATCAAAGAGCCATTTCATTAAGTCAGGTGACATTACATACAGTGGTCACCTCTTCAAAGGCAGCTTCCCCTCACTGATACTCTGTCACTCTTAAAAACCATCTCTTTCACATCGATTTTTGGCTACTCTAAAATGGTGTGGGCAGTTTGCTGTGCTGCTAAAGGACTCTGCTGCCTGTTCGAAGGAGAAATTCAGGGGGGAGTCTGTAAGGGGCACAAATCAGTGCCCCAGCATGGGGTCCACCCACCCCTCTGTTGCTCCAAACCACGGAGCTTAATACAAGAAACCAGGTTGCAGATACATCTTTGGCTCCATGGTTGCCCAAATTCCTCCTTGCTGTTTGCTGGATGGAGTTTCATTCATCCTGTTGCAGGGATATGGACACTAATTACTTTAAGTGATTTTTTTTCGAACAGCTGGCTGTTAGCAGAGGAAAGGCCATAGATTTTTCCAGTGAAGCTCTACTTGTAATTATGTTTCGTGGGGGATGAGCGAGTTTGGCAGGGCCTGAATGGCCTCTTGCTCCTGCCCTGGTAGCTCAGACTGGTATTTCGGGCAGCAGGGGCTTGCAGGATTAAGCCCATCTTATCAATACATTATCTGAGGTCCCTGGGGAATCGTGCAATCCTGTGTCAATGCCTCAAAACCAAGTGAGTGATGGTCCTGAAACTCCAGGAGAGACAGATCCTGGGAGGTGGAGCTGGGAGATCCCAGCTGGGGCTCCAGGTTCACATCCCTCATGGTCACGTCTGGCAAGGCTGGAGCTGGGAAAGGGGGGATCTGTGAACAACTCATGGTTGGTGCCCACAAGCACCTGCCTGAGGTGCTGCAGCAGCCCCACAGCGCTGCCCAAGCCTCATCCAGGAGCAGGAGCACATCTTACCCTGGGGTCTCCATGGCACAAGTAGCTGATGGGAACTGGATCAGGGTCCTTGCTGCTGCATGTTCTTCTCTGCTCCTGCTTCACTCTTTCACTCAATAGGCTTTGCTGGTCCTTAGGCTGGGCTTTCCCTCTCCTAATCCTGTCTAATACATGGGTGTTTAACTCTGGGATCCATCCAGAGGGATGCAGTGATGCCCAGCACACGCCTGTCCCCTCCTGCCATGCCAGAGCCGAGCTTTTTGGGAGGACTCAGCGAGGCAAATGGGCTTCACTCCCACAAACGTGGCTGTGCTCAGCCCAATGCCAGCCAGAGGCAAGACACACTTATCACCAAACCAGATGGTTCCCGTTCCCAGGACTGTAAATTTGGGGGGGGGGGAGCAGGGGGAAGAGTAAATAAATAAACCTCTCGCAAATCTGCCTTTGAATGGAAAGTAAAACACTGCGGGACATCCCTCCCCCTTCTCCTCCCATGTGCGTAAAACCAACTGGAAACACTCCCTGTTGCTGGGAAAAGTAAGGCAGCTCTGTTTTGATTTTGGTAGATAATCTTGTGCCGTGGAGGTCAGCCGGGCAAGGCGAAGAGGTCGTGATGAGGAGCAAACATCCCCGGAGGACAGCTGCTGGGAGCGCTCTGGAAAAGCCAGGAATTTCCAAGAACACATCTGAGAGTCCCCAAGATGAGAACAAAAAAAAAAAAAGTATAAATCTGAGGTGGGCCACACTTTCTCCTACGGCCTGTGTGAGTGAGTACCTGGCCCTGTCATAGCCCCTGTTTTAATTTGTGTTGGGTGGGGTGTCAATGTACTGTATGCACATCACTCTTATTTAACAGACTCTATGTTAGAACCACAGTGTAAATGCTAATTTAATCAGATTTGTATGTAACCAGAATTTTATATACCCATTTGTCCCTTTTCTAATTTATGCTGTTTTATGTGTATAAATGTACTTATAGGAAGAGATATTAAACTTATGTATTTGTACAGTATATACATACTATTTTAACCCAGGCAAAGTATTTTTGCAGTGATATTAGAGAAGATGCCATTTGCTATGTTCAAAGACAGAATAAAGTCACAGTCTGTCCCTGGCAGCTTCTGCTGTTCTTTGTGGGGCCCTAAAGATGTCAGTCTGCATTAAGTTTTGGGAGTGGGAGAGTGGGTTTGGGAGCTGGTGGGAGGACAGCTGCTCCCACAGGACCTGACCCACCTGGCCAAGTCCGCACAAGTTCACTTAGGCTTGGCCAAAAAAGGATCTGAGTGTGTAAATCAGAATCCAAAATTGTTTCAGAAAACCCTCACTCAGCTGCTGAGAAATCCCAGTGGTTTCTTAAGTTTCAGTTGCACCTTTGTTTCTGCCTTTGCATCTCCCCAGGCCTTTTCACCTGCCCAGAAATGGCCCTATAAGAACTGTTTCACCCCACCTGTGCCCCTGGCATTGCCTCTTCCCCCACACCTTCCCAGAAAAAGCCTTTCCCAAACACTGGGACTCGGGTGTGTGTCACAGCACAGTCCCTGAGCTCTGCTGTGCAGGACAAGCTGAGCATCCTGCCCACACGGAGAGCAGCTCTCAGGGACAGCTCAGGACCCCTTTCCTTCCACAGAAAGCTGGGTCTTACCGTGGCCTCACTAACAAACCTCACCAGGCAGCTGGGGGGGCAGCTGGGAGGGCAGCTGCTCCATTTCCCAGAGCACTCACCTCGTGCCAGCCGGGAATTTTCTCTCTGCAGCCACAGACTTCCAGGTTCTCAGCACCAGAAGGGATGTTTGCTCAGAGGCCCTGTCCTCCCATGCCCTGTGCTCCCACAGGGAGCTCCTGTAACTCCCATTTTAGAGGGAAGGCCAAGCATATTTCCCAGAGGAATTCTCTCCCAAAGCCAGCTCTCACAGAAGGTAGTTTTAATCCAAGACCTGGCTCTTTCCCAGCTAAAAAGCCCTACAAAAAGCCTTCCCACGTGCCCAGAGCCAGCAAGGTACTGCAGTGCCCTGCTCTGCAGCAAAGGGGACCCTCTGTGTGCTGCCCCAGAGCCACAACCAACTCACCTCCCTGCTTCCTACACGGAGCAAAGGTGACCCAGCCTCCATCCGTGGCCAACCTCCAGCCTGGAGCCAGCACATCCCATTCACAGACACCACACTGGGGAAAGGAGCAGCCTGAGCAGTTATTTGCTTTAGAGACAAAGCCGTGTTGTTCTTCTCTCCGTGGGAAGGTGCAGCGTGGCTGCGTGAGCCCCGTGGCACCGGCAGGCCACGTGCTGCGCGTTGCAGCAGGGAATCACGGCTGGATCCTTGGAGTAATCTGCAACCGAGACGTTGTCGGCTGCAATGTCCTCCAGAGCTTGGGTGTAAGCCCTGCTGATCACGGGCAGCACTGCCTGGTACTCCCTGGATGCCACATCCAAAGGCTCCTGCTCCTGGATGTCGCGGTCCAGGTTGAAGATGAGGGGTGGTTGGTGATGCTCAGCTGGCCCAGTGCTCCCATCGCAGGCCATTGCCCCTCCTAGGGAGGAAATGAGGGAAAACCCCTGGAGTTATGGGCTGCCCAGGGATCACCTCTGTGTTCCTCACAGCCCAGGCCCACCCTGTCCCAGCTCTTAGTCCAAGAGTGTTTCTGGGGCCAACACCCCCGGGCTGCAGAGCTGGGTTGGCTCTTGCTTGAATTAACCTGAGTTGGTTTCCACCTGTATCTGTAGGGATCCAAGAATTCCAGAAGTTTTTTTCCCAGACTTTAGGATCTCTGGAAGGGACACGGTACCTGTGGTGTAAAAGGCCTTGTACTGAGCCAGCCTCAGCGCCTCGATCTCGCCGACCTTCCCAGCTGCCCCACTGTTGGGGTGGAGCAGAACCTGAAGGAAGGACAAAAAAGTGCCTGTCAGAACATGGCAGGGAAAACCTGCTCCACCTGTGCACCCATTTACAGCCACCATTCAGCCCCTGGACTGAGCAACCAACAGAGTTTTGATTGCTGAAGGGTGGGATGGTGGCAGAAGAACCCGAGGAAACCCCAACATCTCCCTTTGCCTTCCTGGTTCTGCAGGATCCTCTAAATTTACCTCCCCAGACCAATTCTGCCAAGAAAGTGATCACAAAGGTGCAGAGGCTTTCAGCAGAGCAGGACAGAATATCAGAGGATCATAGTTGGGGTTGGAAGGGACCTTAAAGACCATCTAGTTCCAACCTCCTGCCTTGGGCAGGGACACCTTCCACTAGCCCAGGTTGCTCCAAGCCCCATCCAGCCTGGCCTTGGACATTTCCAGGGATCCAGGGGCAGCCACAGCTTCTCTGGGCAACCTGTGCCAGGGCCTCCCCACCCTCCCAGGGAAGAATTCCTTCCTAACATCTAACCTAAATCTCCCCTCTTTTCACGTAAAACCATTCCCCCTTGTCCTACCACTGTGTAATATTACTGTGTAATATTTGGGAGCCGGGTGCTGTGTGTCACCCACTCCATGGGTGCTCCAAGGGAGCCAAATCCCTGCCTGGAGCCAGGAGCCAGCCCTGAGCTGAGGGTGAGCTCATGCAGAGGCCACACGGGAAGGTGAGGTGCTGGAACATCATCCCGTGTCCGTCTCCGCCGCTGACTCACCCCGCTGTGCGAGGGCTCCCTTCCCTGACAACAGCACAGGGAACGGGCTGAGAAGGAAGGGAAGGAGGGAAGGGTGGGTCGAATCTCTTCCCCCCCCCCAGTATTTAGGACACTTGATCCACACAGGACAGCTGCTCTGGCACACGGGAGCGAGGAGACAAGTGAGCTGGACGGTCCAGCGGCTCCTCTGCTCAGATCAGATCTGCCGCGGAGCCAACGGCTTCACTGAGGGATGAGTCACTTGAGGTTTCCTCCCTGGGATTCGAGTTTAAAAGTGATTCAAGAAATTTCCACTGTGCTAAAAAATTAGAAACATCTGCTGGAGTTGTAGGCAGCTGTGGTGCCAAGTTTAGTAACAGCACTCACAGCTGATGAGCGTGGCAATGCCTTAGCAGGTGCCCGGCACAGAGCACCCAGATGTCCATCCCACAGTGCCCAGCACGGAGCATTCCAGCCCCCCTGGGCACCCAGAGATGTCCATCCTGTGCTGTCCAGTCTGGATGTGGCCACTGTCTTCAGGGCCCAGCTGGTACCTCATCCAAGAAATGCCAGGGTTCAGGGTAGGGGGTGATTTCCAAATGCTCTCAGTTTCCTTTATTGCCCTCCATTGCAAGGGAAATTTAAAAAAAAAAAATCGTATTTTGGAATTTGGTTCAATGTTTTAGGGGAAAAAATAGAAGGGTGTAAAGTGGAAGAGGTGGTGCAGTGTGAGCTGCTGCAAGAAGGAACCTCTGCAGCAGAGTCCCCTTCTGCTGACACTCCCTGGTCAGGATAAAACAGCTCCAAAGCAGGAATCAGCAAATATTCAAGGCCCTGTGAAGCCAAAAATGGGAACTGAACCAATTAATCTGCCTCCAGCTTTAAAGCTTTGCCTACACCTTTAGCAGCACAGCTGGGATACTGCCAGCCCTGTGTCGGGGCACTCAAACTTCCCTTCCTACCAACAACCACATTCCTAAACCTCTTAAAACCCCTCACTAAGGAAATCTGTTATAATTTGCTGCATAATTAAGGAGCTTGTTTCGATTGAGCCCTTTCAAGAAACATTCCCAGGTCTGGAACTCTTCCATTAAGCTGTGACTTTGTTATTATAATAAATAAAAAACTAGAAAAGGGGGGTTGGGAAGCCTTTTCTCCCTAGAAAACCCATTGCCTGAACCTGGTGCAGTTGTGCATCCCTCTCCCATTCAGCCCTGACACCCAGCAAACCACTGCTCCCAGGAAACCATTGCTTCCAGCAAACCATCATTCCCAACAAATCATCACTCCCAGCAAACCACTGCTCCCAGCAAACCATCATTCCCAGTAAACCATCACTCTCAGCATGCCGTCGCTCCCAGCAAACTATTGCTCCCAGTAAACCATCACTTCCAGCAAACCATTGCTGCCAGCAAACCATCATTCCCAGTAAACCCACCACTCCCAGCAAACCATCATTCCCAGTAAACCCACCACTCCCAGCAAACCACTGGTCCCCCCCTCCCAGCACTGCATGTGCAGAGGAGGGTTAATCCCAAGGAACACAGCAGTTGGCCACATCCCATCCGCTTCCCTGCTTCATCTCCCAGTTCAGCAGAGGGTTCCATAAATACAAAGCAAATACCAAACCCCTGATGGACACAGAAAGCAAATCCAAGATCCCGCTGGGAGCTGGCTCACGGTGCTCGCAGGAGGGTGGACTTTAAAAGCAAAATCAGGATTTATCCATGGGACTGCTATTAAAGCCGCATTTTTTTCCTTTCCTTATCTTTTGGTTCTGCAAAAATCTCATGGAACTCTGAGACAAACGTGTGGCCATCCTGCTTGCCCTGCAAACTGTGGTTTTTGGGCTTAGAGGAGCTGGCAGCAGCTGGTTGTATGGACAGAGCTGTGGGATACAGGGTAGGCTGCCCCGATGGAACACGGTAACAACGGGCACCTTCCCCAGCCATGGAGCTGGGAGAAGGAGGGCTTCCTTACATCTTCACCTGGCATGATAAATAAAGGGATACAACTAGGTTTGAGCCCCCAGGATCTTCTCTTCCCCACACTGATGCACCTTTTGTGATTGGGAAGCAGACACACCACGCAGAGCACCACGGGCTGCCACAGGCCTGAGCGTCCCCAGGATGGTGTCCCTGGGATGGGGGCACAGCCCCGTGGCACACAGGAAGGTGCCACACTGCAGGCACAGGCATTTCTATCCATAATCCCAGATTTGTGAGTGAGACACAAAACAGTCTTCATTAACCCAAAGCCCTTTTACCCTGATATCCCAAGCCCAGCCTGGTGCAGCACCCAGTCAACTCCAGCTGCCCTCCTCCTCCTCCTCCAGGTCAGGGGGTGACACTCCTGTGAGTCCACACATCACCAGCTCTGAGCCTTTTTCCACTCCCCACTTACCTGGTTTAGCTCAGGGATCTGCTGAGAGGGGTGGGGTGTCACTGGGGGGGTGGCTCTGCCTTACCTTGTGCCCCTCATCCGACCACCCGAAGAGAACTGGGGACACATCCAAGCCATCAAAGCGCCTGTTCGGGGGCAGCGCTGCCCCAGCCAGGGCCACCAGCGTGGGGAAGATGTCCAGGGTGCTGGGGAAAGAGGTGGCTGCCATCAGTGGAAAGAACAAGAACCTTGCAGGGTCCCTCCCAGCCCAACCTGTGCCCCTCGAAAATGCCTTGCAGGGGGGAAGCTGCTTCCCAGCACCCACCCCAACTGAAAAGGTTAAACCCGGCTTCCAGGGGCGGCTCAGGCCCTGGCAAGCCCCAGCTTCACGTGTCTCCCACCCCCAGCCGGCTGCTCGCCAGGCGCTGCGGGTTCAGCCAGGATGTGCCTCCCCCCGCGCCCGCGGGGCAGGGACAGGGGCACGGCGGGGCAGCCCCTCCTGAGCCCCCCGGGCACGGGGCAAGGCAGCGGGTCACCCTGCGGAGAAACTGCAAGCACAGGGAGTTTTCACGCCAGTGACAGCACATCCCGTCGCCCCAGGAAAACGCGGTCTTGGCTTTTGCGCGGAGCAGCGCGAGCGGGAGCGCCAGGATGGAACAGGAGCGCGGGGCTGCTCCGCAAATCCCACCCGACCCCGACGGCGCTCCCACCGACAGCCCCCCGCGCCTGCAGGGCCTCAAACACAACGGACCACTCGGGGCTCCCCCGGTGTGGGGGGACACGGGGAAGGTGACCCACGGTCCCCCTGGCTCCGTGGGGATGCACAGAGGGACAGTCGCTGCCTTCCCCCCTGCTGCCTGTGGCTCAAAGCAGAGCCTGGCTGGGGCAATTCCCCACCTTCCAGCACATCCCTGCCGTGTGGAGGTCGAGCACCATCGTTGCTGGAGTGGGAAGGGATCACCTGGCCCTGCTGCCAGCCCTTCACAGCCTGGGCACAGACTCCCCCTCCTCCCAGTGGGGACCGGACTCGACTCCAGTGGGATGGGGACATCCTGCTCGCAGCTCCCACGTCCAACCCTCATCTCCCTCATCCTACAGGACACAAGTGTCCGTCCCCCCCCATCACCAGGAGCACACCCCTTCCTTTCACAGACAGTCACGGGGTGATCCCACACCTCTAAAGGGAACCAGCCGAAGCAGGGTGTCCCATGGCCCCAGGGGACAGCAGGACATCAGAGTGGCCAAGTGACACATCTCAGCCCTGCCCTTCCTGGGGACAGGGCTGTGACACAGGAGCTGAGGAGCTGGCAGTGCTGAGTGGCGATGGGGACTCAACTCACACCCTCTGGCTACAAAACCCCTGTGCTGGCAGCTCCAGGGGGGTCAGTTTGGGCAAGGAAATTCCTGGAGGAGGAGAAAGCACCAGGTCCCCAACCTGGGGGCACCAGGAGAGCAACATGGTCCTGCCATGGCAGTCCTGCCCCCACTACGATCCTGTCACCGTGTGTCTCCTGCCCAGAGCTGATGGCAGCCAAGTGGAGAGAAAAGAGCCCTGGGCTTAACAGCCCCCGGTTCTCCCATTCAACAAGTTTTAATTTAGCTGCTAAGAGACGGAGAGAACAAATAAGAACAAACACTGCTGCGAGGCAGCCCCGGCCGGCGCGCTCACGGAGCCGGGAGGCGCCCAAAGAAATCCTGGCTCCCCTCCTCATCCCTGCAGCACCTCACCGGGGTCACACCAGGTCCCCCCAGAATGGCAGCTCACCTGGGCAGCGTGCCCCGGGTCCCGTGGGTGCTCAGCACCCTCAGGATCTGGCCCCCAGCATGGTGCATGTGGATGCTTCCAGGGCTGGACCAAGCAGCCCCAACACAGCAGATGGGACCTCTGGAAATCGTCACCTCATGAGGTGGAAGGACAATGTGACTGAGGACAGAAGCAGCTGAAGATCCCTCCAGTCATAGGTAAATGTAACCCAAAGAAAAAGGCACAAAAAAGTAGGATTTTGGTCAAACTTGGCATCAAAGCAAAGGCCCCACTAGCAGGCACATCCCAGAAGCCAAGCTGGGGAAGCCGTGCTTAAGGGAAAGTGAAAGCCACACTGCCAACCCCTGTCCTGGCCAAGAGAGGTTTAACAAATAAAGTCACCCCAGCACCCTGCTGCTGCCTGAACACCAGGGAAAAGGGCCCAGGCATCAGCAGCTCCCTGCCTGTGCCCCACAGGGCAGAGCTGTGTGGGGTGATGGACATCCCAGCATCCCGGGCAGGATGTGCTGGAAGCACTGCCCTGACACGGTGATGAGCATCCCGGCATCCTGGGCACAATGTGGCAGGGAAGGCTGCCCTGCCCAGAGATGAGGGGGTGCAGGCAGCTGCAGGCAGCTGAACCAGCTCTCCTTGCACTCTGCCAGCTCGCCCAGCCCCACGCCGCTGGCACAGCCAGGATGGTGCAATCTGCTTCTTCACCACCCTCCTGACCTACTTCTTCCATGCCCTACTTTGGGCTGGGGCAGGGAAGGGCAGAGGCACAGCGGGTGGCTCTGACAATTAAACGTAATTAAGAAAAGCCGACAAAGCAGTTTTTCTGCAGAAACCAGCGTGCAGGTGCAGGTCTGTGGCGGTGCATCAGCACTGCCCTGCTGGCTCCAGCTTCCCCAGCCCCTGGGCACACTCACCTCGCTCACCTCCCTGCTCCCTGCTCTGGGGAGGACGTGGAGCCAAGAGGTCCTGCCCAGTCCTGGCAGGCTCTCTGCCCAGGTGGCAAAGGCTGTCAGTGTTTCCATAACCCCAGGGGCAGAGGAGGCTCATGTGGATGGATAACGCCTGCCCCTGCCCAGCCCCGGCTCTTCCTGGGGATCCCACCAGGCAGAGGTCCCTCTGGGTGTGCAGAGGGCTTCCAGCCACGCCTGCACACAGGTTTCATCCCCTCCCCAGCTTTTTGGTCTTCCCCATCAATGGGGGGAATTTCAGCTTCCCTATTGCACATGCTGATCTTTGGGGGATGTTCCCAAGGGTGACTCAGTGCAGAGAAAAGCCACCTGTCCTGACACACTGTGAGCACCAAGAAACTCCTGCCCTCCACATCCCTCCACGTCCCTCCACCTTCCCTGTCCATGAGCTCAGGCCATGGCTGGGACCAGTGGTGAAACCTTCCTGAGCTTGACCCATTGCTCGTGTCCCCCATGCTGGCTCTGTGCTGCCTCCTGAAGAGGGAGTGCCTCATCCCACACAGCTGGGCACGGCCCCTTGGCAATGCCAGGCTGTGCTGGGGGGATCCTGAGTGTGCTCTGACTCCTGGGGAGCTGCAGAGTCACTTTCCAAGCAGTGCAGCACAGCCCCTGCCTCTGCTGGATTTCCAGCTGTCCCAGCTGCCAGACCAGAGCTGGGAAATGCAGGAGATAAGGTCTATGAGGAGATAACCTGGGCTTGAGAATTCCAGGGCTTGGAGGCAGGGCTGGAAGGGAGGATGGTGGGACAGGGGGATGGGGACAGGCACTGACCCTGCAGGTGCTGCCCTGGCTGCCTGAGCAGGCAGGAGTTGGCAGCTCTGCCCCATGTTCTGTGGAGGGGAAGGGTTTGGAGGTGAATCCATGGGGTGCTACGTGCACCCCATCCCCTCTGCCAGACACCCATGACTCAGCTTATGGCTCAAGCCTTCCCGTGCCTGCAAAAATCCAGCTCCCAGAGCTGCCCTCAGGTCATGTAAGGACTGAGTGGCTCCAGCTTATCTCAAGGACCTTAGAAACACCCAACACCTCCCCAGGGCCCACCAGCCAGGACCTGCTTCCAGCAGCTGGGGTGTTCTTTCCCAATGCCCAGCCACGCCCTGGCCCCACCGCCCCGACCTCCACCATCCTGTGCTCCGGGGACGAAAGGAGATGGGGCATCCCACCACAACTACTGGAAAAGGAGGGATGCAAGGAGAGGCGCAAGTCCCACATGGAGGGGTGCAGTTGCTGCCTGCAGAGGTGCAGTATTGCTGCAATAAGGACCCCCCCATGCCACCCTCCCCGGGGAGCTGAGGCCTGGGGGCAGCATCCCTTCCCCTCTGCTCCCGCCGGATCCCGGCCCGGCCGCATCCTGCAGGGATTGCCAGCACCATCTCCCCGGCCAGCCTTTCCCACAACCGCACCCTCCTCCACATAAAGCCATTCACAAACCACAAAGCCTGAGCCTTCTCCTTGGTGGGGAGAGAGAACATCGTCATCTTTTAATTATCGGGAGGCCCTCGGCCACCGCGGCCAGGAGGCACACGGAGCCCGGTGGCTGCTCACGCCAACCCACCAGCCTCACAAAAAGCCCTTTCAAACTCCTCTTTGCTGAAGCATTAAGTCTTGGGAGAGGACAAAAGTACAGTCTGGCACAAGGCACGGAATAACTAGTGCAGGCAGCTGCTGCTGCCAAAACCCAGGTGGTGACCTGGGGATGGTGGATCCTCCCAGAGGAGGTGGAGGGGCTGCCCCGCTCCCCGACGGGCTCTTACCTGAGCAGAGCACGGCTCGTGCGCTTGGCAGGGACGTGGCCAGGCCAGTACACCACTGCTGGCACACGGTGCCCTCCTTCCCAGGTCGTTTGCTTTGCTGAGCTCCCGCCTGCAAGAGAACAGGGCAGCGCTCAGCACCCTGCTGAGATGGGAAACCTCCTGACCCCGGAGTTTCCCTGGCAAAGGAACCGTTCAGGGGTGTAAATCGCCCCAAAAGGAGGGTGATTTTGCTGGAGAGAATCTGGGTCAGGGGAGGGAGAAGAGTTACAGGAGTTTTTCAAAGAAATAGGGAAAGGGGGGGGGAAAGGGGCTCAGTTTGGCACTGCTTTGTGTTTCTCCAGCAAGTGATGAGAAATGCAGCTGCTGCCGGAGCCGTCGTGTTTCCATCCACTTTTGATGTCAGGTGAGAAAATGGAGCAGGCAGGAAATGTAGGAATTTGTTCCAGGGACTGCTGCCCTCAGCGAGGTACAGCACTGACAGCCCTCCCTCCCCCCCCGCCTGCTGGAAACCTGCCTCATTAAAAATACCATCCTGCTAATAACCCTCCTGTCAGCTAATGAACCTGATCCATCGTTTCCCTGACAGCACCCAAAGCACCCTTGCTCTGCCCTTGGGTTTGAGATGCTCTGCATGGCACGGGGAAGCTGCCCAGTCTCTTCCTCCACCTGGAGTGCTGCACACAGGGATGGGGGTGCTGAGCACCAAAACGCAAGGACTGAGCATCTAAACGGGTGGAAGTGTGTTGGAGAGCCTCTCTCTGCCTTGGCTGCAGCCCAAAGTGCCCCAGGCAGCTGAGGCGGGGGAAGGGGCTGGGAATGGGGCAAACAGAAAATCACCGAGCAAACTTCCCAGGAGCAGCCTTTGTCCTGCGCCTTTCAGCGTGCACATGGCAACGGCGCTCGCCCAAAGCCATTTCCTCCGGGCACAGCCAAGAGAGGCACGGCCACCCCGCACTCCTCTGAGTCCCTGTGCCGGTCCCCAGCCCAGCCCAGCCTCTCCAGGAGTCACTCCCTGATCCCACAGGCTGATCCACGCTCCCAAGCAATGCTGATGCACCCACAGGGACACACAGGGCATGGATGCTGCGGTGCTGGTGCCACAAGGGCTAGTCCTAGTTTCTGACCCTGCTGCCCGTTCTGCTGGTACATCCTCAATCTCTCCCATTCCCCACCTAAACTTTTGGTGTTTCCCCCCAGAGGACATCTCCTTGGGGCCTCCACAGTGGGACACAGCCAGCACTGGGATCTCTTGTGGCTACTGGAAACATAACAGTGCTTCTAACACACATCATGTATGGCTAAAGTGAGGTGCCTCCCCTGCCCTCAGACACCCCAGGAAACCACAGCAATTACAGCAATTAATATCAATCACCATCTCTGCACACATATTAAATAACTCGTCCTCCTGGATGCATTTCCACAGCTTTTCCATGCATGGTCAGGGGTCTCTGGCAGGACAGCAGAGTGAGAGAACCCCCTCCAGCCACCCCAGTGCCTCTGGCTGGTCAGGACATTGGAGCAGCCCACGAATGAGCTCACGTTAACACTTCTGGGCAGTAAATGGGGCTGAAACACCCAAACCCAACCAGGGAATTTTCTCCAGGGTGGGGATGATGCAGCCCTGTTGCTGTGGGGACTTTCCAGGCTTTCCAGGAAAGCTGAACTGTGCATTCCCGTGGCGGGATGAAAACCTTGGTCCCACCACACACAGCAGGTCCTCAGCACAGGGACACCAGGTCTGGAGGCTCCCAAACCTGTCTCAAAACATGTCCAGCATCAGGTCCTCAAAATGTGTATCTCTATCCCAGTATCCCCCCTCGCTGGGCTCTTGGCCACAAGGTGGGAAACAAGTTTTTGGGGTGGGCTGAGGGCTGTGGGAAGCTCCCCAGCCAGAGAAAGGGGCAGCACATATGGATATGCTGCTTTCTCTCAGTGAGGACCAACTCCAGTTACCACCTGAAATCAATGGAAAACACCCCTGGAATTTGGGTTGGAGTCTAAAAGGAAACACCAAGCTACGTGAAACACGGAAAGCTCGGAGTAGCCTGTCCTCCCTTGCCCTCCCCACTCCTCAGGGGCTTTTCTGTGCTGGGGGATGATTCCCTTGGGATGGCCGAGCATCCCACCCCAGCAGCACCCAGGGGCGGGTGTTTGTGGTGCCAGCCCTGCCAGCAGCAGCCCCGTAACGCCGGGCTGGCTTTCCAAACATCCGTGCAACAGCCAGCCCAGGGATTTCCGAAGTCATCCTTCCAGCCGGTGTTTACAGCCAGCTCGGAGTGCCCTGCCAGCCCGACCTCCTCCCCAGCCTCGGCCACAGCCAGGATCCGGGTGTTTTCCCAGGGCGGCGAGGGGCTGGAAAAGGGGCCGTGTTTTCCTCGCCCTGTTCCCGAACGCCCGCACTGCCTGTACCATCTGCTCCGGCTTGTGACCGGCGGTTGCTCAAGAGCAACCCGGGTTTGTTTACTAGAAAATTAAGGTTACGGATTTCATTCCCGGGGCCAGCCCGGCCAGCCAGCCGGAGGAGGAAGGGCTCTGGGAATGGGAATGGGAATGGGAACAGGCGAGCCAGCCCGCCGACAGCACTTGCCCAGGGAAGTGGCCACGGTTGCATGGCCTGGGTGTCAGGAAGCGAGGAGGGATGAGGCGCTCCCGCCCCGCTGACCCCGGGGCATGGGGGGAACTGAGCCTGGCACATTACGCTGCGTAACACAAGCAGAAGTGGGAAACGCCTGACTCATGAATGTTTTCTGGCCGAAATAAACCCACCAAGCAGATGGCTTGGCCGGAAAAGGAGGAAAGATGGAAAAAAAAAAAAAATTGAAAACACACACCCCAAGAAAACGGCGGAGAGAAAGAAAAGCAAAGTCCCTGGGGCGTGGGGAGGGTGCTGGCCAGGATGGGGCTTGGGGCTACAAGACCCTGCTGGAGCTGATGGTAACATCCAGTCCCCGAACCAGCACCAGTCACCTCAAGTTCTGGGGTAACAGGGACCCCAGCCCCCCACCCTGCCAGCAGCGGTTTTAGGGGAAAACTTGACTGTTCTGGGGTGTGTTCAAGCCCAGGGCAGCAGCCAGGGACAGGCTGGGGGTGGAATGCTCCCCACATCCCCCTCGATGGGCAATGAAGGGATTTGTGGAGCACCCCCCTGCACCCCTGGGGACTGGCAGATCTCCCCCTCCCAACTCTGCCAGGTTACCTCTCTGCCTCTGCCAGGCCCCCACGAACGGCCCCAGGCGTCCTGCCAGCTCACACTTCTGTGCCCAGGGGCCATTGTCACCTGCAAGAGAAGGAAATGTCTCCATGAGTGACACCAGGACCCAGAAGGTGGGAGGGGACACCTCCACAGTGGGGCGGTGGGCAAGGACAAGTCACCCTTCCATCCCTCCTTCCCATCCCTGTGATGCCTCCCCACACGGGCAAGAGCAGCAGGATGATTGATTTTGATTTCTAACAGTTTGTTTCCAAGGGATGAGTCCTGGGGGGGGGGGGAAAGGGGAGCGGCTGCCACCAGCTTTGGGCGCTAATGAGCGGCGGAGCGGTTCCTGTCGTCAGGAGCAAGACATCCTCATTAGGGAGGCTGCTCAGAGAGAGCAGATTTGGGCTTCTTAATGAGCGAGGATTTATGGCTTAATTAGGCACGGCTCCGCTGGTTCAGCCCCGCGGCCGAAGGGGGGTGGCAGGGCGGGCACCCCGCGGAGTGGCCGGGGCACCCTGGGACCCCCATCCCTGCGAGGGGACCGCTCCCCATCCCTGCGAGGGGATTGCTCCCCGTCCGCGGAGCAGCGGGAGCATCGAGGGCAGGGCACGAACACAGGTCCTGCCCCCCGACCCACCTCCACTCCGGGGCTGGTGCGGGGCAGTCACCAGTGTCACCCCCAGCCCCGCAGCCGCTTTTCCTGCCGTACCTGTGAACCACAGCAGCGTGTTGCCCGTGTTGCCCTTCCCGTGGCTGTCGGCCACCTCCTTTATCCGTCCCACCAGGGCATCCATCTCGCTCAGGGAGGCTCCATAGATGCCCCTGCCCAAGGGGGGGCCTGGCTGGGGGTCCCACAGCGGGACGTGCATGTGGGCCAGAGCCAGGTAGAGGAAGAAGGGGCGTCCACTCTCGCTGCACAGGAGAGAGAGGGAGAGTGTTCAGCCTTCAGGGCAAGGCAGTGGCAGGAGGTCATTGGGGTGGTGGCACTGCCAAGCCTGGGGACACAGACCGGTGGCCCTTCCACAGCTCCTGGGAGAAAAACACTCTATGTGCATTCAGCTGGCTGCAAACCCTTGTGGGGGGGATGCTTGGCCTCTGCTCCTGCTTAAACCTCTCCCCGTGGCCCCCCTCATTGTCAACTGTCCTCCTGTTTGGGACAGACTCGCCCCTTCCTCCATCTCCAGGGGCCAAACACCCTGCGCTGGTGCATCCCAGGCACCCACCCACTCCCCTCCCCTCCTTCAGGGGCCCATTTTGGCCCTTTGTTCCCCTCTCCAGCAAGTGCCTGGAGATCTGACAGTGATGGGCAGAGGATGAGCCACAGCAGGACACCCACACCAACCCCAGGCACGGCCTTGGCACTGCCGAGCAGCCCCGGACAGGGAGCGCGGCACGTTCGCCCGCCGTGCACTGCCCCACTGCCTGCTCACTCCTAAATCATCAGAGGACATGTCCTGTTTGCTTGTTTACAGCTATATTTATCTCCTCCAACGAGTCCTGCTCTTCCTCAGGGACCTCCGAGGGGAAGGGTGGGATGGCCAGCGGCGGGGAGGGGCCGGATCCCGGGGACGTGTCCCAGCCCGCGCACGCGCCCGGCTCCGGCCGCCCCATCGCTGCCTCCAGAAAGCTTTCGGGGCCCCTCTGACGTGTGTTTCGGCATTTCCTTCCTTTACCCGTCACCTGGGATGGAAAATGAGTAAAACCCATCCCACCTGGAGCTGCCTCGTCCTCCCCCATGGCACTGGAGCCCTGCAAAGGGCTGTGCCCAGCCCCTTGCAAACGCTGTGAGAGACCTTTTCCCATGGGATGCCAGAGACTCTGGAGCAGGGAAAGCCACTTTCCCCAGCTTGCATCCCACCACTCCGCATCCAGATGAACTCATGGCTGCGGTGTTCAGCTGAACATCCCACTTGCTTATCACAAGGACACCTCAGAATTGTCACAGATGGAGATAGCCGAGGACAGGAGTCCCTGACTTTTGCTCCCACGCTCGCTGTGCTCGAGCAGTGCCACTTCTCACCGTCACAAATTGCTCAACCTTGACACGACTGGTTAAAAAAACACCGAGATGGCAAATCCGGTGTTCTTTTGTTGCCCTGTAATGAATGAGTCAGGCAGGGGAAAACTGGAATAAGCCATCAAAGGGAAGGAGAGAAAAGGCAGGCACCTGCTTAATCCTGTTCTCCGTGAACGCAGATAACCCCAGAACACTTCTGGGAGTTTAAAGGTTTTTCCTATTAAACTGGAGCTCACACACTTGGTTTCACAGCCAAACAGCATCCTGGAAGCCCAGAGGGCTTGGACAGGAGGGGGGATTGCTGCTGTCCCACAGCCCACAGCCTGAGTACCCTCAGCATCCTGACCACTATAGACATTGTGCAACAAAACCACACCCAGATTTATAAGGAGCCATTTCCCACAGGCTGCTCCCTGCCCAGCCTTTTGTTCATCCCCATCACACAAACCTAACCCCCAGGACCCCACTACTGTGACCCTTCTGTGGGTCTGTGCTATCCCTGGATGCAGACATGGGATGGGCTGGGTCTCGGCTGCCCTGCAGCGCTTCCTCTCCTCGCACTGCAGGGAGGCATTTTGCAAAGTCACAGCTCGTAATCCGCCAATAATGGGGATTAAAGTTACACAACCCATCCCCAGGGCTCAGGCCGTCATTTGGAGGAGCCACTTTGCTCCTGAGGGACGAGCACACCCGGGCACCTCATGTCCTGTGAGCCCGGGGGAGGCAGAGCTTGAAGCCCAGGGATCTTGGAGTGCTTTATCCTCAAAATAGATTGAACTCCTCACACAGGGCAGGTTCAAACCCCTCTGGGTGCTGTTCTGGTCCCACTGCCAGAGCTGCCATGGGCACCCATTTCAGCACCTCTCCCACACCCCTGCCAGCACTTCATACCCAGGGAGGCACCTCCACTGCCCTGCTGCCACTGCAGAGAAGGAGGGATGGAGGACGGATGGAAGGAGGACAGACAGATGGAGGAGAGAGGGATGACAACATTTCCCTCCCTCCGATACCCGCTAGCCAGGACCCTGCTGTACATTCCCCCCAGGAAGGAGGCACAGCCCAGCTCAAATGCTCTGACCTTCCTCATAAATGGTGGTTTTAAAAACACCGTGTCCCCTCACCTCGCCCGCCGGATGAACCGCACCGCCTCCTCCGCGTAGCGCGTGGCCAGGCTGCCGAGGGCCACGGGCTGCTGGACGATGGTGACGTTCTCAAAGAGAGGAAGAGCGACCTCAGTGTAACAGTCCTTCCTCGCCACCCTGCTGGGAAGAGTCACCAAACACTTGTAAACGGAGCGGGGACCGGTGTGGGAGCAGGCACGGAGCCTGGAGGTTTTCCCAACCTGCACCCTGCTGTGGGGTGCACAGGGGTCAAACTGGGTACATGGAGTATGAGGGGAGCAAAGGGCAGTTCTCGGGGTTGGGGACACTGATGCAAATCCGCACCTCCCTGTGCCAGCACCCGAATCCCTCACGGCCCCGTACCTGGCAGGCGCGCCGTGCCGCGGGCAGGGCGGGCAGGGCGGCAGGTTGTACCCAGGGGTGTCCGTGCAGCCCATGTCGTGGCTGTAGGGGATCCCAAAGTAGTAGTCGAAGCCTGAGAGGCAAGCGAGGGTGTCAGCGGGGTCAAGGTGACCGCAGGGCCCTCGGCTCGCCCCTGCTGGCACAGCTCTTACCGCGGGAGTTGGGGTGATGGCGGCCGTGGTGTCCCAGGTGCCACTTGCCTGCGTGGAAGCCACAGAACATCATTTCAGAGGTTACACAGCCACAGCCACCACCAGCCATCACCCACGAGGTGCCCACAGAGCTGGGGGCTTTAATCTTGCTACAAGAAAGGCTCCTTGTTTGTGCTGGCTGCGTTTCCAGAATGCCGTCTATTTTTGCAGAAACCCAGAAAAAATGCATAAGGTATCCCATGCCTGTGCAAAGCGAGTGTTTCCAGCCTTAAAAGGCTCTTTCATGTGTTTGTGTTCTGAGCAGACGGCTCTCTAACCCCCCCTAAACAGCCAGCTTCACCCTCTGACCTCCGGCACGCGCTTGCTCCCACCGAATGCACCGATCCAAGAGGGAGAACTCCAAAAACTGTGGGGCAATGGTGAAACCAAGGGATTTTCTGCCAGCACGATGTGTGCACCAGCAGGAGCTGCAGGTGCGAAGGGCTTGTGCTGGCTGGGGGGACCCACGGTGACAGAAAGGTGCCCAAACTCACAGGGCCAGCGGCACCGACCGAGGCGTGGGATACAGGATGGCAGAGCTGCCGAGTACAGTCGTGTTTGCTCAGGAAAACCCAGCACATTCCTTGTGAGGTGAAGCAATTAGAGCTTAAATGGAGAAGTCTGGATTTTCAGGCAGCATCATGTGTTTGAAAAGGAAGATTTTAATCTTGGGATTGCGTAATCCAAGGGAGATGTGTGAAATCCCTCTCATGTGATCCTTTAGACTCTCCTTTCACTGCCAGCGCTCCACTTAAGTACCTGCAGCCACCCCCCTGCAAGGGATGGACATGGGTGTCTTTGCCACCCCTTGTCACCCCCCCCAGCCCCGGCTGCCCCCTTGGCATTTTGGGCATTACCTATAGCTCCTGTGCTGTACCCAGCCTCCCGCAGGACCTCAGCCAGGGTGGTCTCGTTCAGGGGGAGGCCGCCGACCGATGTGATGGCGAAGTTGTGGGTGACCCCGTTGCGCACCCCGAGGCGCCCCGTGAGCAGCGAGGCACGGGACGGGGAGCAAGTGGATGCGGCTGAGTGGAAATCCACGAACCTGGAAGGTTAAAGGACCCTTTGCTCACAAGGCCCTGCGTGCTCTAACACTGCCCCATCACTCCCTGCTCCCCTGCATGCATCCCCTTCTGCCCCAGGGATGAGGGTTGGGAGTGGGGGATGAAGCTCGCAGGTCTCACAGGGATGGATGGACCTGCACTGGTCTCTGGCAGCCCTCTCTGCACACCCAAACCCACATCCATTAAATCCCTGCCAGTCCCATGGGAGTGAATTCCCCTTTGTTGCAGGACAGAGTAACCAGGGATGCTAGGAGAGGGCAGGGAAGGGGGACAGACATTACCTTGTCCCTTCGGCAGCCAATTGATCCAAGTGCGGGGTCTCCTTGGTCTCTGCCCAGTTGGCCCCGAGGTCCCCCCAGCCCACATCATCTGCCAGAATGACGATGAAGTTGGGCTGCCCATACACCCCACAGGGAGCCCAGAGTCCCACCAGCACCACGGCGAGCACCAGCACTGCCCGTGGGGACGGGGTCCCCATGGTGCCACACGTCCCCTCCCACCCACACTGCGGCACTGGCAGCTTCCTCTTCCCCAAACTCCCTCCCCTGAGTCCCTGTGGATCCAGCTGAGCTCTCCACAGGCCCTTGCAGCGATGCCAATGTCCCCTCCTCAGCTGGTCCCGTAGGGCCGGGGGTCTGGGTTTGCTCCCTTGGCTGCCAACCGAGCTGCGACACCTCCTCCGTCTTTCACACCCAAGCACAGCTGATTTTCCCGAAATCGGCGCCAGCAAAGGTGTTATTCTTAGAAGTCAAAAACACCCTTTGAAGTCACTGTCACCCTATTTATATCTTTCCTTCCTTCCTGGTAAATATCTAATTAGACACCAAACCAAAGCGGTATTTTCCCCTCCAGGAGCGGCTTGATCTGCGGCGGCGGCTCCTCTCCCCTCACCACAGCCCAGGGGGGTGTTTGTGTCCAACAAATGGCTCCTTCCCTGAAGACTGAGCCCCTCAGCCTGGCCTTCAGGTGGAGAAACAACTGCTGGGGCTGTGTCAATCCATCCTTCTCCTCGCACGGCTACAGCATCCCCTGTGCAAGAGAAACCAGCCGCAGTCAGGACGTGCCCAGTGCTCCTGCACCCCGGCCCGGGGCAGGACGCCTTCTCCACACGCCGAGGCTTTGCCTTTGAAGTCGTATTTTTTGCTGCCTGGCTCATGATGGCTCAGCTGGAAAGGGCTGGGAATAACGAGGGCCCCTTTCCCACATCCATGGCTGGGGCTGGGATGGTTTCCCGTGTGCCTGCCGTCCCCGGGAGCAGCGCTGCTCCCTCCCGCCCTGCCAAGGGCTGTCTCCTGAGCACTGCAGGGTGCACAGCACTACAGTGGGGGACATGCAGGGCACTGCCTTCATTTGTGACAACTGACAAGAGTCTGAAGCTCATTTTCCAAATTTAGTTCTGCTCCTGCTGCCCCACTGCTGCCAGTGCACCGGAATAGGCAGTGCAGCCCAGCTGCCAGAGGGAGCTGCTCCTGGAGGCAGGGATGCAGGAATCCAGACAAACCCAGAGGCAACAAACCCCAGGAATACCCAGGCTTACAGGATTAAGCACATCTGGCTGCTTAGGGCAGGATTTGGCCTCCAGTGGTGGAGAGGCTCAAGGAAAAACCCCCTAAAGACCGATGGCAGAGCTGGAGCTGTGCAACACGACCCCTTGAGCACAAAGTTATGGCCAAAGGGAGATGAAGTGGCAGAGATCTGCCAAAACCCCATTGAGTCCTGTGCCAGGAGCTCTGCATCAGCCCATGGGGATGGTGTGAGGACCTGTGCCTGGGTTGGGGACAACCAGGACTCAGCTGAGGTCAGCACTGCAGCAGCTGTCCCCAGTTGGTACCAACAAGCTTGGGAAAGGAACACGCCATGAAGGATGCAGCTCCCATGGGATGGTCAACACAGCCAAGCAGGACAACATCCATTAAGACAAACCATGAGGGTGAGTAGAGAAACAAAAGAGAGTGGGAAACAAAGAGAAGGCGACAAGAGGAGGCAGGAGAGGGAATAGGATGAGCCCCATCTGTAGGCCGAGAGGTTTGTGGCTTGCAAAGCAAATCATTCCCAGGTTTTGCTGTTCACATCTTTAAAAGCTTTGGGCTGTTTCTCGGATCAGCAGCTCCAGGGCTGTCAGTGTAGCACTGAAGTGATCAGGGATGTGACTCCATTCATAATTCATAGCTCACAGTGTTAATTTATGAAGCCTGGAGGCTCTTGGTACATCAGCTAATGGAGGTGGGATGTGGTGGGTTATGGGGCTGAGCCATGGGAGAGGCTGCCCAGCCCTGCTCCAACAAAGCCCATGAGCCCAGCTCCTGTTCTGCACCCTCCTGCAACCCCACAGCTTGTCCCTCCTGCTCCAAGAATCAAGATTAGGTATCTGGACATGTTTGATGGTACTAAATCACTTTTGTTTTCCAAAAAAAATTCCCTTTACAATTTCTGTGGAAAGTCACTGGGATTTCTTCATAGATGGGCACCTGAAGGGAGCAGCCCTGCTTTGGTCCAACACCCCCTGTCCAGGGCTTGAGACCAGCTGGGCCAAGGACAGCACAGAATTGAACCATCAACTTTACAGGAACATCATGGACTAACCTGGGCATGGCCAGGGTGAGCCCAACCCCATCTCTGCACCAAACCCCTCAAAGCATCCTCCATGCAGCACCATCCTGAACCCCATCCCATTCATGAGGGGTGGCCCTGCATCCCACAATGTGCACCTGTAGCCACTGGAAAAGCTGAGCAAACCCCAAGGGAGCCAAACCCATGTCCACCCACAAACCTCCGTCCCTTCCCTTTACTTTGGGAAGGGATGCCAGGGCTAACAATTTTCAAAGGATAGTCTCTTCTCCCTAAATTACAGGGAAAGTCATCCAGGGCTGAAATTTATGCATTAGCATCAGACAAAACATCTTGATCCCTGACGCTCAGAGGCCGTTTGAAGGAGAGGTGGAACCGTCCACGTCCAGACCACATCCCAACCCTGGCAGGGCAGGAGGCCACCCCTTTGATGCAGGAGGCATCAAATCCATTGCCCTCTCCTCCAAGCCCTTTGGCAGGGTCTCCTCTCTGACCCTTTTTGGTTGGAATTCCCAGCTGAGCCCGGGCTGTGCCAGCTCTGCCCCCGTGCTGTGCAGTCCCCTGGCAGTGCCCAGGTGGATGTGGGATCTTCCCTGGGACAAGCTCTGGTACCTGTTCACTGCCACACCAGGACCTGCAGCATCTCTGTCCCCCTCCAGCTTTGCTACAGCCAGACCCACCCAGAGCTGAAGGACGAATTTTTAGCTATTTCTGCAAAAAAACCAATGACTCAGAAGAGATTCCCCCGGGCTGACTATGGCGTGAACGCGGCTGTGGAGGCACCTCACCTCATGCCAAGCAGGAAATACTGCACAGGTGGTTACAGCTGGATGAGCCACCTGGGAGGAATCACTCCAAGGATCCAAGGCCTCAGGATAAATGGCATAAGCACCGTGCTGGGCATCGCTCTGAGTGCACAGGGCACACCTGGGCGTCACAGCACGCACCTTGTCCCAGGGCAGGATTAAACAAATAAGTAAAGAGCATTTTGCAAGCCAGACAAGGCGGTTCACAGAAACTCGGGATAAGTCCAAACCAGACAAACCAGTTTAGAAAAGCCCCAAACCCTCTCCAATCAGGACACCCTGGGGTTGGCCCCGGGGGCAGAGGAGGGGAGATGCCTCTCCGGGATGTCACCGCTGGTGGTGCCACCGCGGTCACCCACTCGGCACTGGCAGTATCTGTCATGTATTTATTACACATTAACCAGAAAGTTTACAAATCTTGGGGCCAGCAAGATCATTTTCACATTTTTCACATTCTTTCACATTTTCACGCCTGCCTGGAGAGCAAAGCAGTGGCCGGAGCCCAGAAAAACCTGACGCCCTTTGAAGCACGTCCAGCTGTGCCGTCCCCCGCTGGCACCCGGGGCTCGCACCCCACCCGGGGTGTCACAGCTCTGATCTCCTGCCCAAACCCACACTGATGGCCCTGTTCTCCTGCTGGAAGTCCCAGCAGGCATCCCCATCCTGGCTGCAAGGAGCAGGGAGATAAGGACACATCAGGGGATGAGAAATTCAAACCAGAGCGGGCACCCGCTGTTATCCAGGACCACTCCAGGGGCTCCCAGCATCACCCCTTGTGCCAGCCAGGGTCAGGGAAACTGAGGCAGGAGAGCAGAAGTGATGGCTTAGGTTGTGCACTGACCCCATGGCTGCAAAGTGATGCAGGATGGGGACACATCCCCATGGTGTGGCTCCTGACACTGACTCTGACCCCGCTGACAATGCCCAACCACAGCCTGGAGGGGATGGATATTGAGACAGACGGGCTTTCAAAGGGGAGAAAATAAACAAACAAAAAAAAAATCCATGTTTTCTTTGCAAATTAAACTTGCACAGATTTTATGCTTGATTCAAGCACAGAGAAGGGCAGCAGGTGCCTCGTGAGGGGTTTATCCATGGGGCAGAGGGTACAGGAGCTCTGTGCCTGCCCCATTGGGCCTCCTCAGTTCTAACATGTTTACCAGCTAAGCTTCATTCCTGGTACAACTGTCCTGACAATGCTCTGAACAGAGTCAGGACTTTATTCCAGGAAGAGGTTTTCTGCTGGAATAGTTTATACTAGTTCCCCTAACAGAATAAAGCAGCACCGACAAAAACATACTTCTGCAGATTTACCAGGATTTCTGCCAGCTCCTGGGACAGGAGAATGTTTTTCACCCATCTCGCTGCTGGGTCTTTCAGAGAAAACATTTCACATGCCGAGCAGGGCCGGGCAAACCCCGGCAGAATAAATGAACTGGAAGTCCCGGAGCCATCCGGCGGCGCAGCCCAGGGGCCCGCGCTCCCCTTCCCTCCGCAGCCCGCCCTGCTTTCCAGCTCCCGCCTGATTTATGCCCACCGACAGGAGGCTCGCTCTGCTTCCCTGGGGATCACAGAGCTCTCCAACACCAGCCACGCACCCGGGCTGCAAAATTCCCCGGGATGATGGAGAAGCACGTCCCGGTGCCAGCGCTGCCAGGGATGGGACGGACCCACAAGGGATGTGCCGGGGCAAAGAACCCTGGCAAGACACAGCCAAGCCAAGCAGCAGGGAAATCCCTCCAAAGTGGGCTAGCAACTCAGGGGGAAAAGGATTTTACAGCAGGGCTGGGAAGCCCTGAGCTGGAGAGTCTGCAGCCACCATCCCCCTTCCCCCCACAGGGCCCCTCCAGTCCCCATCGCTCCCCGAAGCCTTGTTGCTCTTGGAAGGGCAAGAGGAAAGGAATGAGAAGGTGAGGCAGAGACAGATGCAAAGGACTGACAAGAAATACCAAGGAGTAAATCGCTTTGGGTTTTTCATGCCAAAGATATTTGCATTCTTATTTCTCCCCTGGAGGCACAAACCTCTTTTGTTGTCCCATAACCACTTGCACTGTCGATGCCAGGAAGAATTTCAGCATGGGGAGGGTGACCCATTTCCAAGGAAAAGCCTGTATAACGGGGAAAGCAGCTCTTTGAGGCCAGAGGGGTGGTCACCCTTTATCTGTGCCCCTGAAAGGCAAGATATGGATAAAGGGCAACCACCTCAGAGGAACCTTGGGTTTCCTTGGAAGAAGGGGTCTTCCTGTGGGACAGGGTGATACGAGGTTCCCAAGGACACACAGGACACAGTCTCATGGCTGAGTATTTGGATTTCAGATGGATTTCAGCCTGTTTAGGGACTGTGAGGAGTGAAGCTGCTGGAACATCCCTCCAGCACTTGCTGGAGGCAGTGGCTCTTGAACCAGCATTGCTGTGAGAAACCAGCAGCAGCTTTCCCAAAGTTCCCAAACGAAAGCAGTAGCTAGTTTGCCTCATTTTGGGAGATTTGCAGAATTTTGCCCCCCCTGCCCTTCGCTCTGCCACCCCACTAGCCATCCCATTGTGACAAAAGAAGGGAAAAGCAGGAGAAGGGACTCCAGCCAAACCAAACACAGCAGCCCTTGCACTGAAGGAACATTTTAACCTGGATACTGTTTCCAGGGGTGTGAACCAGGATCCCCGGGTTCCACATTAACCCACAGCAATTTGTGGTGGGGTCCCGGGCCAGCACAGTGGGCAGACCCCAGGAGGGCAGGTGAGGAGGGGTCTGCTCACTGTCCCAATCTGAGCCCTCTGCTATTCCCTGCAGGTAAAAGTCACTGGCCCACAAGCCACAAGGAATGGTGCAAGGCTCCAAAACCCCTTGGCAGCATCCATCTGCTGCACTGGGATGCAGCAGCAGCAGTGGCTGTGGCACAGCGAGCCCCAGTGCTGTCAGGTTTTTTCCTCCTTTTTACCGATTTCAAGGAAATTTAGAGGACTTAAGTTAGTTGCTTTAGTTCCATCCCTCTTTGCCAAGCACTGCTGGGCACGGGAAGAAACCCTGCCCTGTGCTCTCCGTGCCAGATGTTAGGCTGGATGTCAGGGAAAGGTTCTTCCCCCAGAGGGTGGTTGGCACTGACCAGGCTCCCCAGGGCAGTGGGCACAGCACCAAGGCTGCCAGAGCTCCAGGAGGGTTTGGACAGCGCTCTCAGGGACAGGGTGGGATTGTGGGGGTGTCCTGTGCAGGGCCAGGGGTTGGATTCCATGATCCTTGTGAGTCCCTTGCAACTCAGGATATTCTATGATTAGGGACTGAACCTCTGCTCCCTTCCCCATCCATGTAGGTGGTGACTCGGTCTCTCCTACTTCCAGTTTGACTCACAAATCCCTGTTTTTTAAGCTCCCTACATAAGGGAGATGTTCTCCCCTAAAAATACAACTAAAGGAGATGGTTTCCCCTAAAAATGCAACTGAGGGAAATGTTTCTCCCTGAAAATGCAACTAAGAGAGACACTTTCCCCTAAAAAGTCAACCAAGGGAGATGTTTTTCCCTAAAAAAATGCAACTAAGGGAGATGCTTTCCCCTAAAAATTCGAGCAAGGGAGATGCTTTCCCCTAAAAGTACAGCCAAGGGAGATGTTTTCTCCTAAAAACGCAACAAAAGGAGGTGTTTTCCCTTAAAAATGCAGCTAAAGAACATGTTTGTCCCTAAAAATACAACTAAAGGCGATGGTTTCCTCTAAAAAATGCAATTAAAGGACATGTTTTCTCCTAAATGTGCAACTAACAGAGACGGTTTCCCCTAAAAATTCAACCCAGGGAAATGTCTTTCCCTAAAAGTACAACTAAGAGAGATGTTTTCCTTTAAAAAATGCAACTAAAGAACATGTTTTTCCCTAAAAATGCAACTAAAGGAGATGGTTTCCTCTAAAAAAAATGCAATTAAAGGACATGTTTTCTCCTTGAAAAAAATGCAACTAATGGAGATGGTTTCCCCCTAAAAATTCAACACAGGGAGATGTTTTTCCCTAAAAATCCAACCAAGGTAGACCTTTTTCCCTAAAAACTCAACTCAGGGAGTCCTTTTTCCCTAAAAATTCAACCGAGGGTGATGTTTTCTCCTAAAAGTGCAGCTAAGGGAGATGGTTTCCCCTAAAAAATTCAACCAAGGGAGATGTTCTCCCTCAAAAATGCAACTAAAGAACACGTTTTTCCCTAAAAATACAACTAAAGGTGACTGGTTTCCCTTAAAAATTCAACTAAGGGAGATGCTTTCCCCTAAAAGTACAACTAAGGGAGGCGGTTTCCCCTAAAAAATTCAAGGCAGAGAGACGTTTTTCCCTAAAAACACAACGAAGGGAAACGTTTTCCCTAAAAACACAGCTAAGAAACACGTTCCCTCTACAAATGCAATGAAGGGACACGTTTTCCCTAAAAACACAAACTGAAGGACATGTTTCCCCTAAAAACGCATCATGCCCTGCACCCAAAGGGGGCAAGGACACTCTGGCACCCTCAGGGCGGGGGTACTTCCATATGTGCTCTCCCCATCCGCGGGGATGCTCCAGCGGCGCATCCCGGGGACCCGCTCGGGCACCTGCTCCCCGCGGGGCGCGGGTCCCTGCGGCAGGTGCGGGGCTGGCTGGGGGATCTCCCTCTGTCTCTCTCTCTCTCTGTGTCCCTGGAGGAGCGGGGGGAGCCGCTCCCGCCGCCTGCACCGCCCCTCCCCGCACACGCGGTGCCGCCGCTGGGGCGAGCCGGGCCCGGCGCCGCGCACATGGGCGCTGCGGAGCCGCCGGCGGAGACCGGCTCCAGCCGGTATATAAGGGCTGGGAGCGAGCACCGAGCAGCAGCAGCAGCCGCCGCCGCGGGCAGCGGGAGCAGCAGCGGCCGGCGGGGCAGCGGGGGCCGCCTCCTCGCCGAGGGTCGCCCGCCCGCTCGCCCTCCCCGGGCCATGGGCAGCCCCTGACCCCGCCGCAGCACCGGGTGAGTGGGGCTCCCTCCCTCCCGGGGGAGCGGGGTGGGGGAGGGCTTTGTTTCTCTCTCTCTCTCTCTTTTTTTTTTTTTTTTTTACCCCCCCTTTCTCATTTTTGGCCTCTTTTAAACATTATTCCCCTCTCCCCTCGTCCGCATCCCTGTATTTTTAGCCCGCGGCCCCGGCGATGCAGGAATCAGGGCTGAAATGTTGGGAAAGTGATGCAGGGAAGGGGGGGCCACGCCGGGCCCCTGCGCGCTCCGGCT